CTTTGATAGGAGAATCAAAACCAGGAACGTCGAGAAGTTCATAATTCTTACCTGTTATAAATACAGAAAAAGTAGAAACAAAATTAATTTTATTACTTATAATGTGATGTTTTCTTATCATTGACTCTGTACTATTATATCTACTTTAACATGGCGAATAACATCAATGTGCTTTCGAGCAGACGAAGTGTTAACGAAAGTAATGAGTAAACTAATGATGGACTAAACGGTCACCGCAGATGAAAAACCCTAATCTGCAGTATTTATCTCATCAAAGAGTGTACCTCCTTTAAATATCTCATCTATTGGCTTACTAGAGAACATTATCAACAGTCGGACGCGCCGTTCGACTCAATGTTTTGGCTATGAATAGGACTCAATGAGAAGGAGAAAATCCTAGAAGAATTCGTGCCCATAGCCAATTGCCAAGAGTAATAACTTTTTTACTGAATTTTCGATCTATTCTTATATGTCCATAAGAAAATGAAATTTTCCTCAAAGATAGATCTAATCATTCGTAGAATATTCTGAAAATTTTATCTGAAGCAAGTGTTGCTTTCTCAAGATATCGTGTGTTCAAAAATTAGTCGCTTATGAAAGATTGGTTTCAAAAATTGAATTTACATGAATAATCAACATCTCTAGAAAGGAGCATTCATTTCATGTACAATACACGATATTGAATTATTAGGAGAGTTCTACAAGACATTTTCAAGATTTTTCTGTACATACAGACAGTGTCAGAATATCTGCTGTGTGCTCATCCGCATCTAGGGATGCAACTGTGAGACTAACAGTGAAACCGGTAAGCACATGAAGAATCTGCGATGATGAACAGCGGTCCTCACCGTGGGTTTCTCACGCGTTCACTGGCTAAGCCACTCGTGGCGGTAATGGTTGAAAGTACATCCCTATTTGTATCATTCCATTCTTCTTTACTCATTATTTAATCTGTTATGGTAAATTGTTTGTTGTGATAGACATTTCTTAGACACGAGTTTTTGTAGCAAAATAGAAAAACAAACTGATTAATGATATGAATAGGAATGCGGCTATTCGGAACCTGCTGGATTCTTCAGACCCGAGCTTGGTCGGATCCACAAAAACATGGATCTGTAAAGTCCGTAGTTACTGTATCTAGTTTGTCTTTCATTCTTCTTTTTCATTTACTTTCCTTTGCTGTTCTCATGTTTCCTGTTCTTGTTTTATATCAACTGCTTGTCTCTAAGCTCACAATGTTTCTGTAGGACTATTCTGATCATTATATTAAAAAACTAATTTGATATTGCGCACTACTAGATTGATAAAATTGAATTAACTATCAAACATGATAAATGTACACAGGAACTTACTTTAAAGTTAAAAGAAATATTTTTCAAAACATAGTGACGAAACCAACGAAAGACTGATAGGCTTCAGTCGCATCGAGAAACCTTCGATCCTCTCCTCAGAATTTTTTTTCTGGCTCCGCCACTATCAAAACGCATACAGCTTAGTTTGCTTTCTTGTTTTAATTATTTAAGAATGAAATTTTATGAGATCCAAATTATACAGACTTCAGAAGCGAAACAATCTAAAATATAAATATTGGTTATAACTAAACACTGATGTAACTATCATTTTTTGGGTCATGTCGATCTCTAATTATAGCCGACTGGTTTGATGATTTTCAATTCATTCTTCTTTTTGAATACATACCTGGTAGTCTGTCTGTGTAAATTGCAATTTCTTTAATAATATTAACATATACTTCTCCTGTTATATATTTGTGTAATTGATCAATAATACCCGCACGTTGTCTATTTTCATCAATTCGACCAGTAATATAGAAATGTTCTTCAGGAAATTTTCCTTTTATAATTTCTCGTTCTTCCATCACTTTTCCTTTACGTTGATCAAATTGTTGTTGATTTTCATCTGTTTTCTTTGTCATTTTATCGAAAAATACACGAAATTCTTGATCATCATAGAACTTGACAGTTGCAAACAATTGCTGACCATCATCCTCAAATGTTGGTTTGAGAACGGTACGTATTTGTGTGCATCGTTCACTTGCTGTTGGTAAAAGTTCATAACCAAGAAGTGCATTAATAAATGTTGATTTACCAGCTTTTTCTAAACCAACAATACAAATTGTATGTGATTGTTTGTTATTTAATTCTTTTAATTTCAATAAATTCTTCTTTATATCATTGATATTACTATCTGTACTACCACTTTTGATTTCTCTATCAACGAACTGTAAACATTGTAAAATTCGAACATAATCTTGAAGTAATAAATTAAATTTTTCTTTTATTTCATCTCTTGTAGTATCATCAACTGTTCGTAAATAATTATTCAATTCATCAAATGATTCACGTGAGAGTATAGTATCACGTGCTCTTTCTAGTTCCTTGTATATATTATTAATTTTACGAATTCGATCACTGTTATCATCATATTTAATATTTGTTAATTCTTGATTTTGCCATTTTTCACCTAATCGATGTTTAAAATGATCACATTGTTTCAAAAATTCATCGAGAAGTTGCTGAAACCAACGATCAACTAAAATGAATAGAAGATTGTTCTTGTAACAATTCTTGAGTTTATTATTCAAAAGAATGTCCCATCTTCCACCTCGTCCACTCTTTATATAGCGAGCGGGAGAGAGAAAGAGAAAATATCCCATAATAAGAAAAGAAAGAGAACAATCATTGAGCATAAACAAAGGAGAGCAGAAGCATACAATAGACTCAGTGATGTAACCCTTATATAACATATAAGGTTACATTGAACACGATGAGTGATAGATATCCTTATATAACGTATGAGGTAACGACTGATGTTATAATAATGTTAGAACAGTCTATAGAAACAATCAATCCAAACAACAGTGACATTATGTAATGATAATACATAACAAGCTCAACCGGGACTGTCACAGTTCTATTCCGTAAGATTAGGCAACAGCTTAGATTAGATAATGATCGAAAGAGAAATCGTGACATCATGGCATAGTTTGAAATTTTAACTTTTTTTTTTTTATTCGAAAAGAAAGTTCATCTAAAGAAGGTCTTACAGTCCAGAGATGGAACCGGTCTGAGATTTTGTACCGACTTGCTTGGCCTACTGGTTCTATCTCTAGATGATGATATTTAACATAGTGAACTTTCAACAAAATGTCATTACACATCCTGTATGAGAAAATACGATCAAGAAAGTAAACAAAGATATCGACTAGTAATGCCTCTTCTACTGCTGATCGAACTAGAACCGATTGAACCATTACTGATTCCATTTTTGTTATAGTCAAAAAATCAGCTGTTTCTGTTCACAGATAAAATTATACAAAAACGTTTATCAGTCAATTTTACAAATGTCTAAGACATAGTCATCCTTACCGGATCCTAAGAATTGCAACAAAATCCCATGGAATCCGATAAAATCCGACAGGCGGGTCTGTCGTCCTATGTGTTTGGGATTCTACAAGACTATTTTCGTACACTTTGATTATAAATACCAATGTTGGTCATAAAATAATCACTTCTATTTTAAATTTAAACTATTATAAAGAGTACACTTAACGTCATCATATATCTAGTTTTTATGGAGCTGAAAATTCTCCATTGAATGATTAGATATTTGGTCTATAATAAATAGCGATATGTGATTCACATGGGAAAATGTTATGTTCGACAATGTCACATAGATACTACCAATGCAATCTTTATAATTTTTTCTTGATCAATATAAAGATCTGAAATTTCCATTGTGAGATTTAAAGGCGTGAGAATTTGCGTTCCTAGTGGATGCAAATACATATGAAAAATCAGGTAATGAAGTCTTCTCTTTCCACTAGAGAAAAGGTATCTGTCAAAAATGATCAAATTTTATAAAGCATGATAAAAGGTTTTCAGAGTCAATGAATCCGATTCTATGAATCAGTTTTTGAAATATATGGATCAATTTATTCAAATACTTGGTATTCGGAGATGTTGAAACCCACAAATCTAAAAAACAAAATGAATCTATGAATTCCAAAAATTCACTCGTAGAATCGAGTTCATCGATCCTGAAAACCTTTGTTTGAACTTTATAACATATTATTTATTTTCGCGATTTGCGAAATGGTCTTTGTGTAATAAAAGTATGAAACTATGAAGTTTTTCGTTACTGATGTTCAGGTAACGGTAACCTCTCAACCCTATTTCAGACACACTGGTATGTGTGGATATGTTTTTTCTTCCATTTCCTGACGAGCCACTATGAGTTACAGGTTCGTCGGAACGGAACTCGAAAGTGACATCCACATCCATCGTGAAATCCCTTCTATAAAAAGACTTTTTTGCGAATAAAAAGAGAATTAAAAGTCTAAATTTAATTTATAACTCACCAAGATGCAACATTTCGAGAGGTTCCACCGCATAGTTTGCAATAATATGTATTACTTCCATTTTATCAGCTTGAATTTGATCTGCTGTTGTAGATGCTGATTGCGTCCCTCGTTTATATGGCGCTTGTAGTGCAGATGGTTGCAGTGTTGAAGAAGAAACAACTGGTTTTGATTGCCGTGTTATAGTTGACGATTTTGCAGTCGTAGCAGCATTTTCGGACACATCAAAGACAGCAAATAGATCTAATGTATCCCATGATACTGGTTCTGTTGTTGACTGCGACGATGCAGAAGCCACTACTTTATTTGTTCCTTCCAAATTTGATGATATAGGTGACGGTGTCTTTTCTTTTCGTTCTGCTAATGGACTCGAAATTCCATTATATAATGTAGACGTATTGTCTGCTGGACGTTTATCTTTCTTGAACATATTATTTCTAAAAGGGTTTAAATTCATCAACGCTTTAGAACATGTGACCTATCGGAAGAAAATGGCCTTCCAAAAGACTAAGATTCCATATATCAATACGATGTTAACTTCCTCTTTCTTATATACACCTACCTTGTTTTCTCTCCCGTTTATATTGAAACAAAAAATGATTACTTCTATAGATATTGCTTGCTTTTAAATAGATGTGTTGACAACAGATATTTCATTGTAAATTGGAAAAATCCACATTGACGCATGAAATAACATGTTTTTTTTTATTCCACATCATAGAAGTCTCAACACATATTTTTCTCTTTCTTCTTGTAAGGAGAAAATAAAAGAAATTTGTGTGGGTTTAAAAAAAAACAGAGAGAACTGAAAAAACAACGATGACGCACTGTTAAAGCGAGTGATCTGTTGTTGACTAGAAGGGTAAAAGGAGGAAACCATTAAGTTATCGAGTTACCCAGTTATAACTATGATACTTCATAAAAAATTCATCATGAAAACTAGAGGGTGTGGAGTGTGGGTATGGGTGTGGGTGTGGATGTGGGTGGGCTTTCTGTAACTTCGCCAATTCGGAATTTCGCCAATAGATATTCG